GTACGCTGTTCACAAAACACTTATGTATGTAAAGAGAAAATGCAGAAATAGTGTTAAAAAAATAAAACAATTGTCTTGCTTAGCAATGGAAATGTTGAGCATTTATGTTGATGGTATTTATGCTTAACTGTGGTGATAGGTTGAGGAGCACCTGTACATAAATCCACTAAGAAATTCAGTTAATTCAGCAACTAGGTCAGTGTTGGTGAACATTTTTGGCATTGAATACCAAAACGGGAGTGTGTACATGCGCACGCTTGTGCCGGAAACCAGAAGAGCAGCCACCCGGTACGCATGTGTGTGCCAGGCGGCTGCTCTTCAGATTTCCAGCATTCGCTTGTGCATGCACACCAGACACCTGGTCTTCCAGTTTCTGGTCTACATGTGCTAGTTGAGTAGTTGACCAGTTGCGCATGCACACACCAGAAACTGAAAGAGCAGCCACCCGGTACTTCCGGTACCACCTCCACCCAGTACCACTTCCGGTCCTTCCAACGCGCCCTAATAAGTTGGCTTTTCCAGCAAACCGGCCTGGCCTGAACAAAATAAAATAAATGATTGATTAAATTGTTAATTTTAATCTAATTTTTAAAATGTTTTGTTAATATTAATTGGGTTTGTTTTTGGCTACTCTATCTAATTTCCTTTTTAACTTTAGTAATATGTGTTTTTTTAGCGTTGTACGCCACCCTGAGTCCTTTAGGAGAAGGGCAGCATATAAATCCAACAAACAAACAAACAAACAAACAAACAAACAAACAAACAAACCCGGTACACATGTGTGTGCCAGGAAGATGATCTTCCAGTGTCTGTTGCACACATGCGCATCAGCCACCTGATCTTTCTGTTTCTGGTGCACATGCATGCAGGAATAAAATGGCTTATGAGGGTTTTTCACACTTATGACCATTGCAGTGCATGCCAGAAACTGGAAGTTCATCTTCCGGGCATGCACATGCGCACCGGCCGGCTGCTCTTCTGGTTTCCAGTGCTCCTGCATGCATGAAGACCAGCTGGCTGGTGCACTGGAACCTGGAAGAGCAACGGGCGATGGCTCACGTACCCACAGAGATGGCTCTTTGTGCCACCTTTTCGCCATCACGGAACTAGGTTAAGAGTGTGGTGCAATTGCATCCATTACATTGTTACGAGCTGCTGAATCTCTCTACTTAATTTGGGGAAACCTGGAGATGAAATCTAACTTTGGCTTGTGGGGTTGGTTAGGCAGTGATGTGCTATCCTGAGAGATTTGTCTTTTTCATTCCCAGTGGTACAAGTCTCCTGATTATCCCCTCTTTGAACCCTTCCGTACCTTGCGGACCAAAAGACCTTGGCAGCTCTTCCATCTATTGCACCCACGGCTACAGTGGGAGATCTGGGAGCTGGTGCAGGAAGGGGCAGATGAGCAGGTGCAGCGCAACCCTCCATCTTCAGGCATGCTGGGTAAGTAAGAAAGGAAATTCTGCAACCTACCCTATTCTCTGCAGCCCCAACTGCTACCTCCCTTGTATTTGCTTGCAACTGCTTTCTATACTTAATAATCACTCTCTTTATACATGTGGCTCAGAGGTGGTATTCAGCAGGTTCTGACTAGTTCTGGAGAACCGGTAGCAGAAATTTTGAGTAGTTTGGAGGACTGGTAAATACCACCTCTGACTACTCCCCCCCAATCTATTTTCTGCCTCCTGACTCCCAGCTGATTGGGAGAGAATGGGAATTTTTCAGTAACCTTCCCCTGGAGTGGGGAGGGAATGGAGATTTTACAGTATCCTTTCCCTGCCACGCCCACCAAGTCATGCCTATCACCAAGCCACGCCTACCACCAAGCCATGCCTACCAAGCCACATGCACATTTTTTTACCGCAGTAAAAAAAAATGGAATCCCATCACTGCTCTATAGCCAATGAAAGAGTCATTCTATATATATGGTTGCAGGATTTCTCATCAATATTTTAATCCAGACTGCCATAACTCTATTTAATCTAGGCAATGAACTTCCCAGCCCTGGAGTTCCTTGTGTACTAGTCACTTTATTTCCTTATCTCTCCCATTCTCTGCTCAATCTTTAGGAATAGTGCTAATGATGTCCTTATGCAAACTTGTCCATGTGTATGAATTCCTACCATCTCAACGGCAAACCCATCTGTGCCACTATTACCAGCATTTCTCTGATGCTGCCTGCACCCTGGGTGCTTACCATCCCTTGCTCTTTGAGAAGAACTTGGTGAGGCGCATGAACCGTGGCACACTGGCTGACTTGGCAGAAAAGGGCCGTGTAACGCTGCCAGGCTTCCAAGTCCTGAATTGCTCCCCACAAGGCAAAAAATCTGAACAGGGTCTGAAGTAAGGTGAGACAATCTGTTTTATATCGCAAGAGAAGAGATGATAGATGCCTTCTGAAAGCAGCAGGCATGTTCAACTGGGATTGCTTGAGCTATTGATGTATGGTAGTACAGTATTTCTCTTTTTTTAACAAACCATTTTTTATTAAGCTATAGAGTATTATAAAATAAAAGTAAATAGAAGAGCAGTGAGGAGGGAGGGGAAAGGGAGAAGTGAAGTGAGGAAAGCGGGGGTGGGGGGGAGAAAAAGAAGCATTGACTTCCAACTCTCTCTGGTACAGTAAAATAAGGCATTAACATCGAATCAAAGCTTTTTGCTTTTCTATAATAGTATGAACAAGTCATTTCTATAAAGATCTATCAGTCTAATCTGTAAAACCCAGAGTCAGAGTTTCATTCTTTTCCACATCAAACATGAAGTTCAGAAGCTTTTTCCATGTGGAATCAAAAGTATTTATGTTCTTTTCTTTAATCAAAGTACCATATTTTTCAGAATATAAGACGCAGCAAGGTTTTGAAGAGGAAAATTTAAAAAAAGGGTTTGCACTCTGCAAACCTCCCAAAAAGGGCCCATTTTTGCCCTCCCAAAAGTCATGAATAGCCTTTAGGGAGCTTGCAAAGTGCTCCTGGGGGTGGGGGAGGCCCCAAAACGAGCAAAAAACAGACCGTTGTTTTTTTTTGCGAAAATGGGCCCGTTTTTCATTTTAAAAAAGGGCATTGATAGCCTTTAGGAAGCTTATAGAGTGCTCCTGGGGACTGGGGGGGGGGAGTTAAAATTGAGCAAAAAACGGGCCATTATTTGCTCATTTCTGCCCTCCCCAGTCCCCAGGAGCTCCCTAAAAGCTTCCTAGAGGCTATGCATGGCCATTTTAGTGAAGGGAGTGGGGTTTCAGGAGGCAAAAAATGCTGTATTGTGTATAAGATGCACCCTGATTTTCAGCCTCTTTTTTGAGGGAAAAAGATGCATCTTATATTCTGAAAAATATGGTAGTCAGTTTTGCCATTTCATGAACTCCATCAACTTCCGCAACCATTCTTCCATTATAGGAATCAAAGTATCATTCCATTTTTGTGCATACAATATTTGCTGCTGTCAACATATATAGTAACAAAGTTTTTTCTCCAGTTCTTTTTCCATTTGACCAAAAAGGAAACATTCTGTTTTCATTTTTATCTCTCTTTTCTGTATTAAAACATGAATCATACTCCAAATTTTTCCCCCCTTTAATCACACGTCTGCCATAAATGATAAAAAGTCCCTTCTTTATTTTTATATTTCCAACATTCATTTCACATGCCTTTATACATCTTAGCTAACTTATCTGGTGTTAAATACCAACAATACACCATCTTATAGAAATTCTCTTTTAGGTTATAATTTAAGGTAAATTTTAAACTCATCATCCACATATTTTCCCATTGTCCAAGCATCAAAAAAATTCCTTGACCACTGAATCATACAATGTTTTATATGTTCATTTTCCAAATTCAATTTCAATAACATTTTGTAAATCATCGCAATAATATGTTCATTGTTGGCACATAAATAAAGTTCCAATTCATTTTTAACAAAGTCAAAACCATAGCTTATCCAATTTGAACCTTTCTTTCAGTTGCTGATAAGTAAACCAATGGCAAGCTTAACCTTCTGATTCAATTTCTTCCCTTGGTTTTAGTATTGGGTCACCAGAATTAAAAGATAATATTTCATCATACATCAACCAATCTGGCTTTGCCACCATTTCCTTTCTACAAAAAAGCTTCCTGTTGCGACACCCAAAGAGGCAGTGCAGTATTTCCCAACCTCAGCAACTCTAAGATTTGTGAACTTCAACTCTCAGAATTCCCATGCTGGCCGGGGAATTCTGAGAGTTGAAGTCCACATATCTTAAAGTCGCTAAGGTTGAGAAACATTGGTATCGGTGGTGGGTTCCTACTGATACCAAACCGGTAGTGGTTTGGCGGCCTAGATCGCTGGAACTGGCAGCAACCCAGGCCTGCCACACCCCCAAACTGATTCTCCAGGCAGTTCCATAGGTGGTGCCATCTTGTTTTTTGCTTCTGCGCATGCACAGATCAATTTTTACTGCACTGTGCATGCGCAGAGCAATTTTTACTGTAATGACTGCTGCACGCACTCATGATTGGTATAGAGAAATCTGGCAAAGTAGCAGAGATAGTCCAGGGAAGTCCAAATAGCTATTACAATAATAAATCTGCATAACCAGTGTTCACTGGGGTTTTTAAAGCTCAAATGTGATAGGCACTAGAGACATCTTTTCTTAGTTTAGCTAATGCCATTCCCTCCTTCAATGTAAGTATAAAAGGGAGCAAAACTATCTATTTTTGCAAAGATATTTGAGACACTGCATTTCTGAGCCAACGCACACCGGTAACAAGATCTAATCCAATGGTAGAGATGGGTTCGGTAACTTTTAAAAATATATATATACTTTTTTTAGTTTCCATTTTCATAACATATAATCACATTTATACTATTACATTGAAGGAGGGAATGGCATTAGCTAAACTAAGAAANTTTTTTTTTTGTTAACATGGACATAAAGGAAAAATTCTATTTAGGCTCCAGTTTCAGCCCAAAAGTGTCTTTTTCTTGGAAACAGATAATACCCCTGATGCAAAGCAATGTGCCAAAAAAAAATTCAGATTTTACCATGACCATTATTTTAACTTTGATGTGTTTATTCTTCTTTTTTAAAAAAAAACTTCTTCTATTATTGCTCTTTGAGCTACTCAGAAATATTTGATAGACGTAGTGCAATTCATGCTCAGCAGGAGAGAGATTAATCTTATTTTTAAAAAATGAAACCATCACAGTTTCTCCCAAAGATGAGGATGAAAGACACTGGAGGCAGTTGTGTCAGTGGCACAACATGTTTGGTTTTCTATTAGTGGTTAGCCAATGAAAGATTGATTTCTGGGTAAAGGGAAAGATTTCACAATGCTTGTAATTAAATAATCAAATGTAAGAATGTTCTTTCTTTGATTCCATTGTAGATAAAATTACACAGTAAGAAATGACCACAAAATGAGTTATATTATATCCATTACAAATTTCTCTGGAGATTATTAAAAAGCTGCAAAGCTACAATGAAAAAAGAACCTTCATAATAATGCTACCGTTGATGGCATCATTTACATTCATCCTATATCCTATAACAGCGATGGCAAACCTTTTTTTGGCTTGTGTGTCATAAGAGGGGGCGTGCAGGGGAGTTGTGCGCGGGTGTGCCACACCCATAATGCAATGTGCGATCCCCCAGTGTGCAGGCACGCATGAGAGGCACGACCCTCTCATTTTTTGCATGCTTTTTTGCCCTCCCCAGGGTCCAGAGGCTTTATAGGAGCCTGGGGAGAGTGAAAACAGCCTCCCCCACCCTCCGGAGGCCCTCCAGAGGCTCCAGGGACCTTCAGGAGGCTTCCCTGAAGTCTACGGAGGACTAAAAAGGTAGGGTCCTTTTTAGTCCTCTGGAGGCTTCAGGGAAACCTCCTGAAGGTTCCTGAAGCCTTCTGAGGGCTTAAACCGACTCTATGAGCAAACCGGAAGTCCATTCCCAAACTTCCAGTTTGCACATAGGGCCAGTTTTTTGTGCTCCAGAGGCTTCAAGGAAGCCACCGGAGGGCATCTGGGGGGTGCAGGGGAAGATATTTTCGCCCTCCCCAGGCTCCTATAAAGCCTCTGGAGTCTGGGGAAGATGAAAAATGGCTTTAAAAAGGCTGAACTCAGCTGGCCAGCGTGCACATGCGTGTTGGCCAGCTGACAGGACGCCTCGCGTTTCCTGACAAATGGCTCCACGGGCCACCTGTGTTATAGGACCGGGATGGCAAACCTATGGCACACCACATGTGGCACACGTGCCATAGGTTTGCCGTCTCGGGCCTATAACATTAAGTACTATTGGGCCATGCCCCAAATTCTTTCATAATGACTCACATCCCCTAGGGGGCAGAACTTAGCTCAAAAAACTTAGATGTTTGACAAAGAGCAGCAAATATTTCCTATCACCATAATGCAGAATACTAAGCCAAATTATTTGGACATCTAATCCAGAAAATCCCACAAGAAATTCTTCTTCCTGGGCAGTAAAAATAAATAATAACCTAGTCATTTTCTCTGTTTTCCTGTTACCCCATGCCAGATTCTGAGATGATTTTTCTCATTCTAGCTAATGTTATGGCCCACAGTGAAAAGAAACAAGAATCTCACAATGTGATAACATGTCATAGATTAATATGTCCAAAAATAACATGAGAGGAGAGGAGAGCTTTCAATGGGTTTTGTAATGTTTTAATAGAAATATACCACACCAATATGGAAGAAAATGTACAATATGTTGAGATGTGTTCATTGTTGTGGTATTTCTTTTGGCTTATACAATAAATTCAGTGTTCTAGTCTAGAGAAAAATCAGATGTGCAAAAAATAATTGTGTGACTTGATGCTTTATTTCCTTTTGCCTATCAGTTTGACTTGTAATTTTGTTCTTTATGTCTTTGGGGAAAGGTCTATTTCTAACTAATGGGGTGCCTAGTTATAAAAGAATTGGGCTAGATTTGGCACACCTCATGTTGTTTTTGGATGCATTTATCTATGAAACGTTATTACATTGTGAGATTTGTGTTTCTTTTCATTGTTGGCTATAATGTTAGCTAGAAGGAGACTATCATCTAATGATCTGGTGTTGTGTAAGAGCAATCCATAATTATGTTTAGTTGACAGGGGTTGGACTAGAAGACCTCCAAAGTCCCTTCCAACTCTGCTATTGTATTGTATTGTATTGTATTGTATTGTATTG